TATTATATATATATATATATATATATATATATGTGTGTGTGTGTGTGTATATATATATATATATATATATTTATATATATATAAATATATATATATATATATACATATCAGCAAATGTTTATGTACCAATTGATATATGTTTTTATATACACATACATATACATACATATGCGAACACAAGGATACGTACGAGACACGGAGAATCCGAACTTATCGGGATATTCTTTGAACAGCCTCGTCAGTAGAGTGCTCTTGCCGGCGCCGGATGGCCCGAAGAATACAAACAGTTTCCTTGCGGTCGAGGGAGACATGTTGATGTATTATGTGATGTACTCAACGTGTGTGTGTGTATGTGTATGTGTGTGTGTAATTCTGTGCGATTATGATATGACCTAATATAAAAGCAGGTAAATATATTCACATCTGTCTGCTATAGTTTAAAAAAAACAAACTTTGTACATAGGAGCTCTCTCCCTCTTGGTCTCTCTCTACTTATATAAATACTACTACTAGGTACTACTAAAGAGTAGCTCTCTTCCTCTCTGTCTCTCTCTACTTATATAAATACTACTACTATGTACTACTAAATAGTAGCTCTCTCCCTCTCTGTCTCTCTCTACCCATATAAATACTACTACTATGTACTAAAATACTACTACTATGTACTACTAAATAGTAGCTCTCTGGAGCCTGGAGGTTAATTTGTTTTTACTCTCTCTGGAACACACTTCGGATGTTGTTGTCAGGTGGATCTAAAAAAATATTGTGAATAACTTCAAATCACTTAGCGATGAACCCGTATAAACGTTTTATAGTTCGTAAATTGCATGACTATGAGTTTGCGTTCAACTTTTGAGTTGGACCCCGTATAACGGATTCGAAACTGGTGAAAAGAACCCACACAAGAGAAGGCCGTAAAAGGATGGCAGTTTTGAGAAAAAAAATGGTTCAATAAAAACAAACAAATGCCCACACGAATGTCGAGAGTGACCGATTAACCAGTGACGACTGACGAGTCACTCTCACAGTCTCACGTCCCACTGAAAATATAGACAACAAATTATTTATTTTTTGTTAAAAAATTTGTTTCTAGAAGAAGCTTATTTTTAAATACGCCCTACTTATAAATAAATACAAGCTATTTATAACAGGCTACAGCGTACAGCCTACAGCCGCTAAGCTCAATGCGTTAAAGGTTGTAACTTTTATTGTGCCTCGAATAACATTAAAGTTGTATCTTTTATATCTCGATAGTACACTTCCATATATGATAGGTGCATTTTTCAGGTTACTCAGGTGACAGTCGCCACAACTGAAACGTTCAATCTCCTTTGATTGCCTATTATCATTTTTGTAGCCTAAAATTTTCAACGATCGGACAACTTATTGAGTGCAGTTTCCAAAAGAACTTTGTAGTTGATTTGTCCTAAATAAAAGTTAAAACTCTTAAAAATCAAAAAGTTAACATTAAAGTTGGAACTTCTATTCCGTGCCCCTATAACTTGTTGAGCTTAGCCTACAGGTACGTGTCCTTTTTTTATACAAAAAACTGACATGCTGCTGCGAAATAACGACCAAGACGAACGCCATAATACGCCGCTATTTTCGGCGGGCAAAACGTGCCCATATATGTATAATTTATATTTCATTGAACAAGGATATTAGTTATTAGTTTAAAATAATATAAATATATACACTCACACGAGATATACACACATATGAGATTCAGAATGTGCTATACACTACTAGAGTATCTATAGACCCCTACTCTACAGTCTACACAACATGCTGAATATATACTCGAGTATATACATATACATATATGTTAATCTCAGTCAATGGTAATATATTCGTTATACCTCTAAATGGCGGTATTTTTAAACAGCTAGCACTAGAAACCAAGGCAAACGGTAAGCCTTAGTCTGTGCAGTTCTCAGGGAGTGGTTGTACCATCGCTGATTCATTAGCGCAACGAGTGCTACACGCAGATTTAGGCATATAGTTAGTTATGAATGTGCACACAGCCTCGCATACGGATGTGGATTCAATACTGTGTATATACATTGCCATTCAATCAGATTTTGTCGACACCTGCGTATGTTTTAATTTACGACCTCAGATGAATTGGCTGTTGGAAATACACAAGGCGCATGCCATAGTAGTCAACGTTGATGAGAAAGACGTAAACAATCTGAATGTTTGCTGAATTCGTTCGCGTATGGACATTCTCATTCACAAGATAGATTAAGATGATTTCCGTACATCGATAGAGTACTACGAACACCGGATACTTCAGGTCCAACCCAGTGTATTCAGGAAGTACGTGTATGCACCTGTATATATAAAAGAAAGACACTACATACACAGTTACGTATGTATGTATGAAGCATACAGCCCTGTAATTGCTGTGTATTGGCAGATCAGTATTCGTACTCGCACTTAGGATAGTGTAAGAATATACGTCACGTATGCGTACGGTTTACGCTGTAATCGTAGTGAGCATTCCTTTATACAACCGGGAAAGGTATTAGGCCCCAAAATAGACCTCTGTTACCTGGGTGTGCAAAGTACTTGGTCAGTCACTGGTGAGGCTTTTCACGATGAAAGATCGTCCTTATACCCAACCACCGCTGTCTGTGAGAAACCTAGCATCTCACACAGCAACAAATGTAGATAGAAGTGACATGCGTACATCAACACATCGCCGATCGCAGGCACAGCAGACGACACCGGCTGACAGACCGACATGTGTTCCAAAAATAGAATACTCAGGAGCACGTGGCCAGCAGCCTTGGACGGATTCAACGAGTCACACAAGCACGGATAGAATTAGTAGTATAAGGCAACGGATGGGCCCGTATAGGCGTGATAGCACACACTCTAGCGTTCAAGCCGATTCAGATGGTGTAGCTAACACCACAGATGATGCTGAGCACGTAAGCACTGAAAGCAGCCCAAAGGACGTCACACGTGTACGCAACTGCACACCATCACGTGTGTGTAGCCACACAGAGCATGAGCGCACACAGCCACCACGCCCAGTGCATACTGTCTCACACAGTGGTCTTGAGGATGTGTGTGAAGTTGTGGGAGACCGTGTATGTGGTACCGGACAATTAGAGAGGAAATTGCAAGAGATGGAGAGCGAGCTCATGCGGGTCGCCGGTGAACGCAGGTTTGAGAGACTGCGCGATGAAGAGGATTTGCTGCCTGACGATGAGAAGCTGTACGATTATCTGAGTGCACATTGGGAAGGTATGGATGCCACACGTTGCGTGCTCATAAGTACTGTACTTTGAAATTTTGTTATTGCTTTTGATAGTATCCGGATTTATATGTCGATGTGATAGTGATGTGTGTGATGTATGTTTGAGTTACGTGGTAAATGGACTTGTTATTTTGTTCGTCGCGAGAAGTAGTAGTTAGTATATATATATATATATATATATATATATAATAAATATGACAATATATACATATATATATATATATATATATATATATATATGGCGACCTGTGCATCGATGTAGAAGCAATCGCAATGCTTTCTGCTGAAGAATCTATTCTGAAGATGAAAGCTAGATTGATCCACCAGTTGCATGCACAAGATTGTTTTATTCGCAATATACACTATGTATATACAAAAAGAATGTTGAGATGGACTTGCTACGCTTAGCTCTGTATGATACCTAACTGAAAAAAATAGCAGCACACAATCTAGACAGGGTATTCGCATCAAACCTGTGCAACTATACATACCTGCGTAACACCTTTTTGCCGAGGGCCACCTACTGTAGGAGAACCTGGATGTATATACACCTACAATTGGCCCTTTTTTTTTTTGCCCCACGCACTGCCTTCTCTCTATGCTCTGAATGTTCTGCTGCTGTGGCCACCTATGAAATCAGGACTGAATTCCGATTATAGGCTCCCATTTATAAAATCAGGACCGATTTTCCTATTTATATGCTGGCCACGGATAAGCGTAGCTCCAATCCGAGTGACATTGCCTCCATCCGAAGCGTAACGCAACATGAAATCGGCAACATCAATTTGTTTTATCAAATGTCAGTCACCTATTACCTGACTGCACTGTAATTTGGAATCAAATGACTTTATCAGTCGAAAACCTCTAACAATTGAGTTCGTTCCATCAAGCCGTTTGCTCCAAATTCAAAATATCTTATGGGTCTAGATTCCCGATTCTTCCTGTCATTCGGCTATGCCACTACAGATAGCAATCGCAACGCAGCCCTGATCAACGAATTCGAGACTCAAATGCGAGACATGACAGCCGTGGAGGAGCGGATATATAAGTGTATTGGTAAGTACATGTAGGTACTATTTGTGGACTCGGATTACGTTCTCGAATCTACTGTTTGTAGATCTGACTTCCGATATGTATATGCACACATCCACGTGGCCTGGCGGGACCAGAATGTGAGACCGACCAACGATTCCCCGGCAAAGCATTTAGCTGAGGTTCTGTGTAGCCTCGCGTTGCACTGACAGATCCAATGGTTTACTTACTGAAAGAATAGAAATATATGTTTGTCTATGTCCATGTGTCTATGTCCATGGATATCTGAATCTACAATCTTACGTTCCTTAGACTTTGTTTGACCTAGCCAAGTACAAATACAAACGTCGCAGTGGAGTATCGCTGGTGCAAAATTTGTCCATCAGGGTTTTGCATAGAGTGCCGGAACGTAAATAGATGTTAGTTCGATGTGGCTATATCCATGGATATGTATATCTACAGTTATACGGTTATTAGAAGTGCGGTGGCAGTATATATATAATTCAGAGCAACTTGGCTATTCCTAGCCTTGTACAGGAGCGAGTATGCAAGGCAAACCATAGTAGTGAGGTATGGTTGTTTATCCTCTGCGTTGCGCTATCGCTGTATTACCTTTACCGCACCCACATCTGTGGAATAGTATGCTGTGTTGGTCGGCAATTAATATGCTTTCTGTCTATTGGAAGTCAAGTGTCGTATATTCTCAGCTGCGACAAATTGCTAGTATCTACGATGTCTCTAGCTGGAAGAAGGAATATCTATGCCAACCTTTGGATACCCGGGCTCATAGCTGCTAACACACCTTGTTATCCCACCACGCGTGTGGCTTTGAATTCTTCCCACAGCCGACAATACCAGACTAGAGTGTGCACTACGACGGAAATCAGACTCGCCGATTCTCAGACCCAAAACGGCTGTAGTTCATGATATGAAACGCAGGCGTGTGCAGAGTAAGATTGACCTGGTGCAGACTATAACACGTGGCCTCATGATTGGTGCAGGAATAAACCCGTCGGATATAGGCACCACCGATGCAGATGAATAGACACTATAATATAGAGGATATAAAAAGACACGGGGATAACCTGTCAGATATTGAAACCTATAAAAAAGACACGGGGATAAACCTGTCAGATATTCAAACCACCGATGTATGTGAACAGACACTATTATAATATAGAGAATATGAAGACAAGGGGATAAATCTGTCAGATATTGAAACCACCGATGCAGATGAACATACACTATTATAATATAGAGAATATGAAGACAAGGGGGTAAATCTGTCAGATTTTAAAACCACCGATGCAGATGAACTGACACTATAATATAGAGGATATTAAAAGACAAGCTGATAGACCTGTCAGATATTGAAACCACCGATGCAGATGAATAAACACTGTTATAATACAGAGAATATGAAGACAAGGGGATAAATCTGTCAGATATTAAAACCACCGATGCAGATGAACAGACAATATAATATAGAGAATATAAAGAGACAAGCTGATAGACCTGTCAGATATTCAAAATACCGATGCAGATAAATAGACACTTAAATATAGAGAAAATAAAAGAGAAACGGACTAGACCTGTCAGATATTCAAACCACCGAAGCTGATGAACACGGACACTTTAATATAACCGATATGGAAATATCAAGTTTAATGTGATTGGTATCTCGTCACAACTACGATACGTTGCATATATTGAGATCATGTCCCCGGAAGATGCTTCAGTCAAAAGTATAAAACAGTCAATGTGTTTGTTTTATTAAATGGCCGGGCGGTGACGTCGGTACTCTTAAATAACCGTTAAATGTGTATTTGAACGTTTCGTTTTTTTAATTAAATTTACATTGGTTGAATTATGTTGTCGCGGATTTGGGAATTGATGATACTCATGAGTCATGACAGTGTCGGACTGTCGAGAGTGTTGGACTCGGACTTTTGGACTTGTCTTTGTTCTCTTGGTTGGACTGTTGGAATATTTAAACGTTTACGTTCAACATTTATATTTATCGTGATGGTCAGGGCCAGGTCGTCAGACTGTGTGTGACTGTGACACTCAGACACTGTGACTGTGATTCAACTTCTGAAGTCTGAGATCACTCAGATCAGTGAGATCAGTGAGAACTGAGTACTTCAGAACTCGGTGAGTCAGAACTCAGAACTGAGAACTGAGAGAGATGAGAGAATGGTTATAAATCACACCAGAATTGGTAGATTTCATCGGATCGATTATGTACTCCTTATACTTTACAAAAAATATTTTATTTACTTTTGGGGTTTTTTTAAGAAACCAAGAATGTGAATAGTTTATGATAGATTGTGCGGAGGGTGGACATAAAAAAGAAGGCATGTTACACTCGGTTACAGCCTACAGTAGTACGGGTAGTCGGGCAAACTACGTGGCGGTGAGCACCGAGCACTGAGCAGTCAGGACAGTACTGAATCGATAAAACAATCGATAAAACAATTGTAAAGCATTTCATTCCTATGAAAAATAGGTGTCAAAATTAAAAACCGTTCAATTGTAGTGTCGTATTGAGTTGAGAACAGTTTGGGTGCGTACAACATTGAATTTTAATAATTTCACGACAAGGCTTTCAGATTTCCAGCTTGTATCCTACAAGTGATAACCTTTTAGGCCTCATAGGTACACCTGTACAACATATTTTATTGAGCTGGGGGAAGCTCACACGGTATGTGCTAGCTATATGTGCTATATTCGTCGCACGTGAATTTTATGTGCACAACACTTAAGATCCAGCAGTATTATAGTGGCTAAGAGCTGAGTACAACATATATGTGATGTGCACTTTCGTGTAAAACATGCATAAACACCGAATTGGTAGGAATCTGAGTACAGCATACGGCTTTGGGCCTACTCCTGTCAGTAGTCCATCATTGCAGTACGCGTCTCAGTGCACCCTATGGGGATACCCCGGCGATACTCGTAGTATGGGTGCCTCGCAGTATTCTCATAGATGCACTGAGGAGAGTACGGATGGTTACGCACTATGGTGAGAGCAGTAAATGTTCCTTCGAGCTTACCCAACTTGCAGTAATAGAGACAACTTGCCTGTGGGTAGAAGGCTATGTGAACGCCAGTGGCGTGCAAACTCAAATATATCATCACGCCAACTGCAGTGTGTCGTCAATTGTACACAGTATAGTTTCAGTATACACAGTCGTGTACATATCATAAACACGTAGATACTTTACCGTATTTTTTGGGTGCCCTCTAAGAAGCCTAAAGATGTGCAAGTGTCGCTCGAAAAGAGGCAACAGACAAGCTAGACGATCTAGCATCGTACGCAAGTGCCTGGCTCTTTTAAAGCACGTGTTATTGGCCACACTATACGTTCTTACTATTGACGCGTGGCGCACTCAGTGTAAGTCACCCACAGAGCTATGAGAAGCAATACTGCCCACACAGAATTTGATCACGCTCATATATATAAAACC